GAGGGATCAGTTATTCCAGCCAGTGGTGACGTTCACCACCCTCATCACATGGGTGATGACGGTGCCGCCGCCGCTGAGCCTAGTTCTTACTCCCTGCCTCCTCCCACTCCAAACACTACCTCTGATGCAGGTGCTAGCTCATCATCGGAGTTTCATCATGTCATGCACTACCTGCATGCATCGAAACTGGAAGACAATGAGAGAAGGGCAACGGAAGAAGCTTATAGACAACAAGGGCAAGAGGACCATCGCCGATACATGGACCTTTTCACCTTAATTGCAGGCCAGCTGACGTCTTCAACTGCACAACAGGCACCCTTAACCCCCCCTCCCCCCGAGACTGCAAAGACGGTATCTGTTAACAAGTTAACACCGCCTGAAACCTCCCTGAAACGACGCCTGTTCACCAGCTAGTATTACACTGCAAGCTGACGCCACACGTCAATGGCGTCGCCTTTTCGATGACTACGCTTTCTTAGTAGGCCTACACAACCTCCCACATAATGCACAGCACATCCACCTCTGAGCACACTCTTTGAATCCCTCCTGACACATACCTTTCAGTCACAGCAGTTTTGGATGCACTTCAAGTACACTTCAGATTCTCCTGCAGCCTTCAAGCAGGCTGCAGGAGAATCATCTGCGGACTACTACACTCGCCTCATGGATCTAGCAGATGAAGTGGATTTTTGCATAGGCAACCCTAAAACCTGTGCTGAGGCACAGATCAAGATGATTTTACTGATGGGTGTCAGACACTAGGACCTGCTGCAAAGTTTAGTTTCCTTGGATGCCTCATCAATCCTCAACGCCTTCGTTACCTGTTGCCGCTCTTAGGAGGCTACAAGAGTGACAGCTGCTGCAATATCAGCTGCACCGAGCCAGCTATATGCAGTATCGTCATACATGAGGAATCAGCGACGTAAGAAGACCACTCCTCAGCAGTCTACAGATCGACAGACCTTTGCTAACGCCTCCTGCCAATGCTACTTCAGGCTGGAAAATGACCAGTCTCCAATAGCACCTGCTCTAATTGCGAATGGACAGGTCACTGGAGCCGCACGCCAAAGTGTCCAGCCTGGGAGTCCCGGTGCAATGCCTACAACAAACGAGGGCACTTCGCCAAATGTTGTAGATCTACCAGGAAGCCTCACGACAGGTCTTTTAACTCATTAAGCCCTGACACATCATCATTGCATGCATACCAAGACTAATAACACGTGTCGTGTGTGTGATGCCTTAGCTGACTGTGCCCCCAAACCCATCAATATCCACATATCCTATGGCGATACATTCTCTAACCTCTTGATGATACCTGACACAGGTGCCATCACGGTAATTGGCACGACTCACTCAACAGCCCTAGCACCAGCCTTTCACCCACTCCCAAGACAAGTGTGATTACAGCTGACAGCTCCTCTATGAATCTAGCTTTGGGATGTTTCACTGCCACACTACAGTTCGATAACAGGTCTTGCCTCGCCACCTTCCAGGTTCACGAGGGTATCTAAACTCCCCTCAACAGGTGAGGGAAGTTTGTCAACAGGTGCACCCAGATACCTGCGTCTGCCACGACATCACCTACTGTTGCCAAGGAGTACTTTCTCCAGCACTTCAGCGACATTCTTGCCTCCAAGGCAGACCTCCAGACAATATCGCTGTCAGGCCCACCGATGCGGATCCACCTGAAGCCTGGGGCTACACCCTTTGCTGTGCACACACCTAGGCCTAACCCTTCACTTTCAGGGAACAAGTGAAGGAAGCACTTGACCTGGTGCAGCAGGGAATAATCACACCAGTGGGTGACGAGCCCTCTGAGTGGTCATCCAATGGCCCTCATTCCAAAGACTAAATGTATACATATCTCAGTGGACCTTACCCACCTCAGCTCACAGGTCTCCCGCCACCCACCCATCCCCAACGCCCATCGACGCCGTCCACAGTATCACACCCTCAGCAAAGTACTTCACTAGTGCAGACGCATTATACAGGTATTGGCAGATGAACTTGGTGGAGGAAGACCGCCATTTCACCACTGTCATCACACCCTATGGTCACTTTCAACACTATCGAGGACTAGTGGGATTCACAGCGACTGGTGATGCTGTTTGATGACGACCTCCCTGTCCACATCCAGCACATATTCCAGATGCTCACCAGATGACGCGCTTATGGTATTACTCTCAACAAAGACAAGTTTGTGGTTGTAGCCTCACAGGTCGATTTCTGGGGCTACAACTTATTGACACAGGGCATCTCAGCAGACCCTGAGAAACTCAACATGATCAAAGATTTCCACACCTATGAACCTCACCGACATGCGTTCATTCATGGGACTATTAACCAGCTTGCTGAATTCTCACCTGACATTGCAGCAACAGCTTAACCTCTACGTCCTCTCATGAGCCCCAAACGCTTATTCATTTGTACCACAGACCATGCTCTACTTTCTCCACGTGTCTTAGCACCCTTTGACTCCACCTTTCCTCTTATCCTTCAAAGAGAAGCATCCCATCTCTATGGCAAAAACTACGCCCTTTTTCAGGATCACGGTCAAGGATGGCTATGTTTAGTTCAATGTGGAACCACAGAAACCGAGACCTGCTACACCATAATTTAGCTAGAACTGCTGGCTTACGGGCCATGGCCAAGTGTCGGCTGTATATCTTTGGGCTGCAGCATTTCACCCTAATGACTGATCATCGCCCCCTCATACCGATCATGAACCATTACACACCTGACGCCATAGAGAACCCACGACTACAGTGATTTAAGGAGAAAGTCGCCCTCAACATCTTCACAGCAGTGTGGCATGCCAGGAAACAGTTGTGCATTCCAGACACCATTTCCAGAGCCCTGGTTAGCCGCCCACACTGGAAGATAATGAAGATTGCACCATGATGACTGCACACGTCCGGTCGATAGTCACATCTACTACCATGTCTTCTGATGACCAGTCTATGGAACCCATTACCGACGAAGATAGCACACTACACGGAGCTCCTACGTCTTGAAGAGATTCTCATCCAACTATTATGACCATGCTTCCATCCTCCTGTATTGGAAGTTACGGGATCACCTGTATGCAGAATCATTGTTCCTGCTGTCCTTCGACGTCACACCTTGGCCCGCTTGCATGACAGCTCCATGGAGTTGGAGCCACACAGCGCAGAGCCAGACAGACTGTATGATATCAAGAGTACGGTAGAGGCATCTGAGTCGTGTCAGCAACTTCTACCAAGCCAGCAGCAGGAGCTGTATATATGCGATGACCACCCGAAGCAGCCCTTTGAGTCTGTGTCTGCTGATTTTTTTTTTTTTTTTAGGTTGCAGGTTGCAGGTCATTGCCAACAGACTCCCTAGATGGCCTTTGGTCGTTCCCTGTGGACGTGACACGACTGCAGCCAGGATCAGAGGTTGGAGTTCCTCTACGACTACGAACTGATGGAGGAACCTCTTTCTCCAGCCATGAGTTTCAACACTTCACCGAACGCTACGGTATCCACCACCTCATTACATCACCACACTACCCTCAGTCCAATGGCCATGCAGAATCAGCAGTTAAATTCGTCAAACATCTCATCCACAAAACAGCTCAAGTCCTCTATGACCTTCCCCTCTTGCATTCCGGCCCACCCTCTGTCTTTCTTAGATGAATGGCAGGCCAAAACTGAAGAATGTGACCGCCGAGCTGCTGCCCATGCTGACCAGGTCACAAATCAGTGCAACAGCCACGGCCACCCCCTTCCCAACTTAACCATAGGACAGCAAGTACAGATCCAAGATCCTACGTCACTCCATTGGAACGAGGTCTGGATCGTGATAGGCTGTGGCAGGTTGCGGTAATATGAGGTTCCCCTTCCCAGTGGACGCGTATGGTGACGAAACCACCGTCACCTCCGCCCAGTCCAGTGCCGGTTACGAGTGATGACCTTTACCCCCAATTCCCTGTGTCCCCTTGCTCCGACCAGGGAGCAAGGGGACACAGGATAAAGGAAAGGGGAGGTGTGTAGATATGAAATGTGACCCCTTAGAACAACTTATAATGTGCAGAGACACACAATGTAATGCCAATTTCGTATTATCTAAATAGTATGCATAACTCTAGAGATTTACTTATTTATACCTATGTTACGTGCACGATTACCATTCTATTTCATATCTGTATTATTGGCATATGTCAGCAAAGTTATAGTCAGAGATGCATTGCCTTGTTATTGTATAAAGTCGATCTGGCAACCTTACTGTCCAGCGCATGCGTCCTGCATGACGCTTGAGAAAGAGACGACCGGACTGATGGGAAAGGCTAGATCAGTAGCAACTTGGGGAGGTGTCATGGTGTCTGTTTTGATGGTTGTTCAATGAAAATATAACCAGCAAAATAATCATTTTCCACTCTTTTTGAAAACTGAAGAGACCAAAATGATCGACCATATTCACAAAGCATCCGTAAATTTTGTGACATCAAAATAAATCCCATGTGCTTTTTTTCCAAAAATAGAATCAGACGCCATGGCACCTCCTCGAGTTGCTACTGATCTAGCCTTTCTCTCGGGCTGATGGCTCTGCATACTGACCCTTTGTTCCCTACATTTGAAGCTGAATACACCTCATCAGGACATGTTGGTTTCTTTCAACTTACAATACTACATCACAAGACACAATGAATCGTAACAGGATGTATATATGTATACCTATATACATGGTTTTATATTTATAGATATGATATATATGTATATATATATATATATATATATATATATATATATATATATATATATATATATACAAATAATAAACCAAAGGAAAAATGAGTCATATAGCGTAATTAAGCTGTTGGTAAGAATAATAGTAGATTTATAATATATTACGTAATATGAAAACCAACAAGCAATCATAATAAATTCAATGTTCCTGTTCTACAGGAGTATTGCGCGAGAGAAATAGTACCTGAGGTTTTATACATTAAAAACTCTTAAATATAAAGGAAACACCATTTCTACTTTTTCTTTTTCTTTATACAAGAATAATTTTCGTGCCTATTTTTATACATTTCATTTTGTTTTCGTGTCTCAGATTAATTTGTTCTGATGGATTATATTAGGGATTACAGTGGGCATCACAGTGGAAGACATTAACACAAATAAATCAGATTTCTAACATAACTAGAAACGATAGAAAATGCAAATATATGATAGCAATTACACATCACATTTATAATATTTTCACAGGGTTATCGTGTATTACCTATCATACAGTGTCGGCGTTAACATTAGTCATTTCATAAGGTGGTCTCTTCGGTGGTAGTTGTTTCTGAAAGTGGTGTTCCTGTGGCTGTAGTTCCTCCTGAAGGTGTAGTGGCTGTTCCAGTTGATTCCGAAACCGAGGTCGTGTCAGTGATCTCTCCAGTTGGTCCGGTAATGTGTGTGGATGAGTGTGCTTGCGTGGGCGTGGTCAGCGCGCCCGTCGACAGCGTGCTCGAATCTCCGCACTGGGACACGCACTCGTCGCCCTCCACACACCGCCCCGTTTCGGGATCGAAATGCTCTGTCGGCCGACAAGACACGTGGACGCTTTCGTCAGGAAATCCCTGTTCAATACAGACGTAAAATTTGGTGCAGTCGTTAGGATCGGCAATCTGCACGCCCACAGTCGAGCAGAAGGGAGTGCACGGCGCCGGGCTGGTGGTGGTCACGTCGGTCGCACAGACGACTTCGCATTCGGCATCGGCGAGGCATCGCTGGGCTTCAGCGTCGAAGAACTTCCCGCTCGGGCAAGTGAGGTGGACGGCCTCGCTGGGCTGTCCGATTTCGATGCAGACGTAGAATTTGGTGCAGTCAGTGGGGTCGGGAATCTGCACGCCCACGGACGTACAGATGGGCGTGCAGGAGACCGAGCAGCAGACGCCAATGTCTTCAACGCACGTTTGACTCTCCCAGTGGAAGTAGGTGTTTCCAGGGCAAGTGAAGGGTTTTGGGCCATCGGGGAGACACACGTGAAAGGCGCTGCAGTTGCTCTGGTCGTTGATAATTTCCAGCGGGGCGCTGCAGGTGAAATGGCAGGGGGTGAGGGCCCTTCCTTCTGGTAGGGAGGGGGGCCCTGCGCTGTCGGGCGTGCATTCGGTGTCGTCAGGGTGGATCTGACTTCCTGGAGAGAGATCCTTGCATCTTGGTCCTTTCAGGGAATAGCCCAGGACAAGGACACAACTGCCGAGCTGAGAGAGGGTCGTTAAAGGGTTACTCACTACGGTGACTATATGCTTCGACATGCCTAACTTAAACCAACATGAACGAAGAGCTGGAGGGGAGAGGGTCAGTATAATCCAAAATAATGAGAATTGTCTCAAAGTGAACACCAACAATTACAAAGACAAATATATCATCTACGTTTTAATGAAGAGACTTTAAGCGAGAGCACACAGTCTACACACGGCGCATCTAAACTAACTTCAAGAAGGTCTCCGTTCTTACAGAAAAAACAAAAGGGCCTCACCAGAAGGGCAAGGGAGCGACGGGCCATGGCGACACTTCAAAGGACAACGTCTCAGGCACTGACTGTTCCCGTGGCG